AAACTCAAAAGGAAGAACCATATAATAGAGAAATTAAAAAAAAATTGATGTTGGGGCCAGCAGATGGCGTAGCAGTTACATCACTGGACTCCCACTTGGCTGACCACAGTTTGAGTTCTCGACAAGGTGCCTTGAAACTCATGCTGGGTATGTGTGCATGCATGTACTAGAGGAGAAGGGATTGCAGCATGGATATCCCCCCTTGCGAGGCTGACTTTTCACTTTTCCCTCTCCCTGTCTCTGTCTCTGTCTCTCTCACTCTCTCTGGTGAGCACATGCACCCTAAGGCAAAAAAAAGCACTATTAAAAAAAGTCAGTGTCATTAAAGAGAAAGAAGGGCTGAGGGAATGCTCCAGATTAAAGAAGGCTAAAGCAATATGATGATTAAATGTAATACCTGATCTTAGACTATATTGAACAGCACTGAGTTCTTCACATTTAATAAAGAATATTGGAATATGAATGGTCATTTATATAAAAGTATTGCATTAATGTTAAATTTTTCAGACTTGATAACTGTAGTGTGATTATGTAAGAGAATCTTCTCATTCTTAGGAAAAACTTGAAGAAGAATTCAGGGGTAAAAGGCCATGATATATGTAATTTGTTCTCAAATGGCTCCAAAACAATAAAGAGAGTTAGAAAATGCTAGAAAGTGATAAAGGAGCGACCAGCAGGTGGTGTAGTAGTGAAGGTGCTGGACTCCTATACGGCTGACCATGGTTCGAGTCCTGACCTGGTAGCTTGACAATCACTCCAGGCACATGAGCATGTGTGCCCAAAGGCCCAGGAGGAGGTGTGGCAATCCTCCTTGGAGAGGGGGGTTGGTTTCTCACTTTCTCTCTTACTGTCTCCCTCTGGCAAGCACACATGTCTTATGGCAAAAAACTTAAAAAAGGAAATGATAAAGGAAATGGGGCAAAATATTAACAATAGGTGAATCAGAAATAAAGAGTATATGGGTGGAGGGACCAGCAGTTAGCGCAATGGCTATGTCACTGGACTCCCACGTAGTTGACCACGATTCACATCCCGGACCTGGTGACTTAAACTCATGCCGGGTGCATGTGTATGCATGCCCAAGATCCGGAGAGGAGAATGGAGAAGGGATTGTGGTACGGCCATCCCCCCTTGGGGGTGATTTCTAGCTTTCTGTCTCTCTGTCTCTCTCTGTCTCTTGCCCCCTCCAAAAAGAAAAAAGAGAATATAGATGTTCTTTGTGCTAGTCTTGTGACTTTTCTGTGATTTTGAAATAATTTCTCAATTTAAAAGGGTAAATAATGTGGTCCTCTTGGTATCATTAAGACTTGGTGAGAAGGAACTTCCGATTGGATTATGGTAATGAAAATATATATCTTGTTCAAAAGGAAAAGACCACAATACTGAGATCCATAAACCTGAGTGGAAATGTGTGGTGGAGAGTATGGGTATGAGAATGAAAAGGAGAGGAAACAGAAGTTATAGCTTGATGGCAGTATGTAACCAGTATGTTACATCACCTGGGCAGACAGGTTATAGCTAATGCTTTTGTCAGGCAAAGTACAAAACTGAAACAGAGGAACGATAATACTGTAATCAGGAAGACAAACATCTAACATCTGCTGGAATTCTCCAGCTAACAGCATCATCTGAAACATATTGGATGTGATCATTTCAAATCTTGTAATATGTGCAAAGAAAGTTAAAAATAAAGAAGGAAGTTGCAAAAGTAGGGGGGAGGGGAAATACTTTCCAGACTTAATTCTAACCAACAAGGATGAAAATTGTGGATAAGGAAAATATGACAGGGTTGGCCTTGTAGCACAGCAGTTAAGCATTGTACATAGAAAGCCCAAGACCCATATGGTTGACTGTGGCTCAAATCCTGGCCCTAACTACTTAAAAATCAATGCCAAGCATGTGTGCATGCATGTGCAAAATTCAGATGGGTTGGAGAAATGGAGGAAAAAGGATTATGTTATGACCATGCTCCACTGAGGGTGCACACTGTTTCTCTTTGGTGAGCACACATGTCCTCTGGCAATAAAAAAATAAAATAAATAAATAAGGAAAATAAATAAATAAATAAATAAATAAATAAATAAATAAATAAATAAATAAATAAAATGTGACAAAAATCTAAAGGAAAAGTAATACTCAGAACCAGAGTTCAGTCATTAGTGGCTGGCCAGACTGGTAAGTAGGATTGGGACCAAGTATCTCCACAAATATTTGTTTCTAATAAAATAACTACCCATTACCATCCAAAATTTTGCTACAAGGCACTGCCCTTGTCCCTGCTCTACTGGACTTTTCTATCAATGATTAGAGAAAGACATAGAAGGCAGGACGGAAGAGAAGGGAAATATATTAGAAGGTAGAATTTGGGGGACCAGCAGATGATATAATGGTTACATCACTGGACTCCCATGTAGTCGACCACAGTTCAAGTCTCAGACCCAGTGGTTCAAAACTCACACTGGGCACACATGCATGTGTGACCAAAATCCCAAGAGGAGAATGGAGGAGAAGGGATTGAGGCATGGCTATTCTCCCTTTGGGGTGATTTCTCGCTTTCTGTTTCTGTCTCTCTCTGTCTCTCTGGTGAGCACACACACCCTATAGCAAAAATCTCTCTCAAAAAAAGAAAAAAAATAGAATTTGGATCCAAAGGAATTGGGCATGCTGGAATGAAAAGGCAAAACTAAACAGATAAAATGTAATAAGAATAAATTCAAGGTGTCATATTTCAGTTTAGACACTCAATTATATTATATAAATGTAGGGTTTTGAGTACATAGGGATTCCAGTTGACTATAGTTCAGTAAACAGTAATAAATGTGACTGCTAAACATAAGATACAGGGCAAGGAGGCATCAGCTGATACACAGGAGAAATAATCCAACTATCCTATGTAGTGTTCAGAACACTTATGGAGTATTGCATTCACTTGTTTTGATAGTGCATTGTATAAAGCACTTTGACAAACAAAAGTCTGCCTATAAAAGGAATACCATGATGGTTAAGAATCTTAAAACCGTGATATGTGAGGAACAATTGAAAGAACTGAGGATGTCTAGCCTGGAGAAGAGAAAATTTAGAAGGGACATATGAGCTACCTAAAATGATTTGAAGAATTGTTATGTGAAAAATAGATTAGGCTTGTTATTGAGGCCTTTAGTACCTAACTAATAACTGTTGTTTAATTCAGGGAACATTAACTTTGAAGACTGCCAGACTTCCATTTCAATTTTCACTCCATTATTTGTAGCACTGTGACCTCGGGCAACTCACTTAATCTGAGACTCAGTTTCTTAATCTATAAAATATAATTAAGGGTGGGCCTCAGCCTAGTGGTTAATATATATATATATATATATATATATATATATATATATATATATATATATATATATATATATATATATATATATATATATATACATATATATATACACACATGTATTTATATATACACACACATATATAATTAATATCACCTGCCTCATAGCACATAAGTAAGAATTCATGAGGACTAATGGAAATAATGTATGGAGGAGTGTTCATAAACGGCAAAACATCATAGATATGTAAATTATTACTGCCATTGTTATTAACTAATAGAGAGATTTTGGTCTCTTGTATGGAAGCACTGACAATTATTTATAGCCACACAACAATTGCATGGACTATTTGTTAGAAATGAGTTCTCCATCACTGGAAATGTTCAAGCAGAGACAAGACAATCACCTACTGGGTGTCTGGCAGAAGGGAAAAATATGACTAGATGACTTTTAAGGTCCATTCCAATTTTAAGATATTATGATCCCATCACTATTAAGAATTATCCTTTAAGCTTTTCTTTACAAAAGACTATATAGCCTTGAAAACAGAAATGATAATCTTCAGATATTTGTCAATTCTTGGATTTGTTCTCATCTCCCAAAAGCAAACTGCTTTTCCTGTTTTAGGGAGAAGCACAGTTGCTGGCTCTAAGACTTTTCCAAAGTAGGAGAGACAATTACAAAAAGCACATTACTAAGTAGAGTTTGTGACTTCATAACCGGAAGAAACAGCTAGGAACACAGCTACATGGGCCAAGTGGCTTAGGTTGTAACTGAACGAGGCAAGTGTTTATTAGAGTTAGATCCCAAAGGTCTTCTCATCTCCCCAATCCACCATTGTTACAAAACATAATTATGTCCTAGAATGATCACAAAACAGGAAAAGGAAGCCTATCAGAAGGGCTTAGTTGGATAAACTCCCCTCATGCTGGCCTGTGAAGCCTGACATAAAAGCATAAACACAAAGGTGAAAGAAAATACTTATTTGCAGCTATGCAATGATGACTTTAGGGTGGGAATCAGTTCCAATCTTGAATCTGACCTTTAATTCTGTGTTTGTTTCCCCCCAGAACTGAGGGGAATATTCAGCTCAACCCCTATTAACTGGCAATTGATGAGTTAAGGTCCTATTCTGCCCTGTCTAGCTCCTATTCGCCAGAAGGTAAAACCCTAACATGTGGGGTAAGCAACTACTTTTTAAAACATTTTTCATTTTGTGGTCCCATGACGTATTTTTATACTTAGTGTAATCTTTGGTAGAAAGGGAGAAAGAGTCAAAGAAACAGTGATAGAGGCAGACTTGCCACAATATTCATTGATACAAACAGGAACAGAAAAGTAACAGTGTTTGAACATTAATATATTTTACCATGATAATGAATTGAAGAAGAGTCAAGGAGAGAGATGTTCACACACATATACTGGCAATAACGGTGGCTTATCTACCCAGGAACAAATAGTAAGCTTTTATCTCCTTGGGATAGTGGAATGACATGGATTAGTTGAGGAAAAGCTAAGGATTACATGAACAAATGGAAGTGGCCCCAGTGACTGCCCAGCAAGGAAATATACAACTTGCTTGTCACCCATCAGTGAGGTTTTTGCAGTGCTCTGGGGAGCTTACACTGTCTATGAAACACTGTACTAAACAACCTAACATGTCTTACAAACACTTGCCTCGTGGCGCCCCGGCCAATCTTGAGCAGCTTACTGCTTCCTTACATTTCCTTATCTCTGGCCACAGGCCCCAACTACACCATGACTTACTGATGAAGTTAGCCTGGCCAGTGAATATGGTGTACTGAAGCTCATAGGAGCTGATGCTGAACTCATCATCCGAGATCCAGTGGACTGTAATCGTGTCATGGGAGGCAGTACAGAGTTCCTCTCGGATAGATGGTGGGTTTGGGGCTGTAAGGAAAGGTGGAAAAAAAAGTAAGGAAAGCACATTCTCTCTTCTGGAATTTTACAATTGATATTTTTCCTGCTTAACCCAACATCTCTTGGAGAATAGGTTAATAGAAAGCTTTTGACTGTATGAACCATGCAACCTGAAGCAAAGTATTGAGACCTCAAGCTCCCCCAAACCACATTTTGCTTCAAAGATAAAGCTATTTTAGGCAAAGATATAAGCCTAAGTGATTGTGATGATTGCCCCAGTTATCTGGTCTGCTAAACCAATGAGACCAAAAAGTCTGTGGAAAAAAATTGATGAAAAACACTAGCTTATTTCAGTGCTAAAAATTCTAAAATCTATACATAGTTTTTCTTCATAATACACACTTTCCGTGAACTTTTTGAAGACCCCTCCCATCATATAAACATCTATGTAGAGATTAGAGCAAAGTGGCCACATGGTTTTCTTATGACATGGCCCTCAGCTTAGTTCTTTTTATTTCAAAATAAATTTTACATATTTTTGACAATGTAGTGAAGTAGGAATAAGTAAGAGTTACCTCATCTATAAAGTTGGGATGATAATTACCTCATAGATTTGTTGTGAGAATGACTTATATAAAATTAATAGTGTCTGGCATAAAGTAGATGTTCAATAAATGACAGCTATATTGATACACTAACAAAATAGTTATAAACATAAAATTAGTGTGTGTATATTTTTCTCACGAAATGATAATTCAATAATCCTAAAGGGTGGCTGCATTCCCCATTTTCTAAAATTATCTTCAAATCAGATATTTCTTACATTTTTTTTCTTTATCTTCAAATTCCTAAATTTCCTTAAAACTATTTGAACAGGGGACCAACAGATGGCATGATGGTTACATCGCTGGACTCCCACGTGGTCGACTGAAGTTCAAGTCCCAAACCCGGAGGCTTGAAACTCACATTGGGCCCACGTATGTGCATTGTCAAGATCCTGAGTGGAGAACAGAGAAGGAACTGTGGCATGGCCATCCCCCCAAAGGGTTATTTTTTGCTATCTGTCTCTCTGGCGAGTACATGTGCCCTATGACAAAAATCTCTTGCAAAAAAAAACAAAAACAAAAACAAAACAAAAAACTATTTGAGCAGTACCCATGCCCAATGAGGCATTCTCTAATATTCCCTAATTTCTACCTGAGTTCTACTCTCATAACAAGCAACAATATGTTACTGACAGAGTCATAAAGAGAAATCCATCAACAATTTCTTGTGTTTTACCTTTAAATATGGATGGTATACCCATTCTGACCCCAGAAAAACTTGACAAATCATTCTTCTTTTCTATTACATGACCTAAAATATATTCTACCTAGAGAGATACATATATCAATTTAAAGATTATAAAAGCAATTTCATTGCAAACATTATCTTTTTCAGATTATTTTAAAAAGTAAAAGCATGCCAAAATAAAATAAATAAAATAGGAAGAAAAGCACAGTATTATCACACCTGTTAAATAATCTAGCCCCTCCAGCAGTTTCTTTTCTCTGGAAAAATCTAAAGCAAAGTTTTCAAAGGCATCATTAAAATTGATGTCTGGAATTTGAACTTGAGAAGATGCAGTTGCCATAGCGACCCTGAAAAAGAGAAAAGTACATCAATATACATCAAAATAGGTTTGCAACCTTCATCCAGTTTGATTTCTGGTTTAACGAGGTATGAACAAATGACTTGTAAGGCTTGATTCATTAAGGGAAAATAGTATATCTGTTTTTCCGCTGGAAACCATTTACGTTTTAATCATCAGGAACCAATTAGGAGTTATACCATACTTCTTCACATATGTTCACCCCTCAAACACACTCCTCCATCCTGTCTTAATTTTGAGAAGTAAATACAGAATTTTTTCCCTTCTGCATCATTTTCCATCTGGCAGGCACGATCAAAACTAGACCTCTGAAGGCTTGCTAAGAGCCATTTGAGAGATTTTCTTCTGGCTGGCCTTCTATTTTTTTAATAAAAATCAACAAGTCAGCATGCTGGGTTAACACCTTGCCCTAAATACTGTCCTTTATTTGATCTTTTATAACATTTATATTTTACTTTATTATTCTTTTTTTTTCAAGAAGGCTTGTGCACTCGCTGGAGTGAGAGAGAGAGAAAAAAAGAAGAGAGGAAAAGTGAGAAAGCACCCTGTATGAGAGATGGTCATGTTGCAATCCCCTCTCCTCCATTCTCCTTTGGGATTTTGGGCACACTAACACACACGCTTGTGTTTCTCAGCCTTACAGTCAGCCAGGTGGGATCCAGCAAACTAAACCACTGTGTTATGGGCTGGCTTGATTTTATTACTCTCTAATTCTATAATGCTATACTATTTTTATCTCCCCACCTAATTCTTTTTGTTGTTGTTGGGGGGGGGGTAAGAAAAGGAGAAAAGAAAAAGACCTTCTACCTTAGAAGCATGACAAGAGATAAATTTTGCAATCAAATTCATGTGGTCTGCAAGAGATTATCCAGAATATCAGCATACTATGAACCTTGCCCTTAAGCCAATAGAAGTCAGACTTCATGAAGATTGGAGAGATTTGATGAATGTCCAAAAGCCACACAAATCTAGGTAATATTTCAAAGAGCTAGAACTGTTCTGCTTACACGTTGCCTTCGGGGATTATTTCAAGCTCTTATGTCCTATGAATTGAGTTGTCCAAGCCTATGTAACTCCGTTTTACAGTTAACCCAATGGTGTAAAGAAATTAACACTGCTGGAACCAGCAGGTGGCGTGGTGGTTAAGACGCTGGACACTCCCACATAGCCGACTAGGGTTCAAGTCCTGAATCTGGTGGCTTGCTTTCTCACTTCCTCTCTCTCTCTCATTATCACCCTCTGTCTCTCTCTGCTCAAACTAAAAAATAAATGAATGAATAAATAAAATAAATAATTATAAAAAAAGAAATGAACACTGCACTGAGACAAGTCACATTTCATTGTAATTGAAAAGCATGTTTTTCATAATTTTCATATTTTTATTATTATTAGTTTAGATTGGTCAACTTTTCAATATTTTTTTGTATTATTATTATTTCCCATGAGTCAAATGTTTTCCCCTCTTGCAGCTCACACCAGCCCCCCACCACCCACTTTCCACAAATCATTTTTGCCCTTAGTCTCTAGCATCCACACCTATCCTCTCCATGATTACATCTTCAGATCTCTTATCATCTGCCATCCACATTCAGTACAAATTGAGTGGGGATATATAAGGAGTATCTTTCAAAGTCTGGCTCACTTCACTCAACATTAAGTTTTCTATATTCATCTATTTTGAGTCAAATGATAGGATCTCATCCTTTCTTTTTTTTTTTTTTTTGGGGAGGTTTTTTTGCTATAGGGTGGGTGGGCTCGCCAGAAAGACAGAGAGAGACAGAGACAGAAAGCGAGAAATCACCCCCCAGGGGAGATGCACCGCAATCCCTTCTCCTCCATTCTCCTCTCGGGATCTTGGGCACGCACGCACATGCGCCCGGCGTGAGTTTAAGCCGCCGGGTCCAGGACACGAACCGCGGTCGACTACGTGGGAGTCCAGCGACATAGCCATTACGCTAACTGCTGGTTCCCTATTTATAGGTTTTTGAGAAACTTCCCGTTGTTTTCCACAGAGGATGAACTAATTTACATTCCTATCAACACTATAAGAGGGTTCCCTTTTCACCACAGCCTCCCTCACCAGTTCATGTTGCTCTTTATTTTTCTGATGCTCACCATTGTAAATGGAGTTAAAGTGGTATCTCATTGAGATTTTTAATTTGACTTTCTTTACAACAGGAGACTTTGAACATTTTCTCATATGTCTCTTGCCCATTCATAAGTCTTCCTTGGGTTGTCTATTCAGTTCATTTGCCCATTTATTAATTGGATTATTCATTTGCTTATGGGTGAGCTGCTTGAGTTCTCTATGTATTCTGGATATCAATCCCTTGTCTAAAGAAGAATTTGCTAATATTCTCTCTTGTTCTGAGGGTTGTCTTTTCACTCTATTGTTTCCTTTGCTGTTAGAAAACCTTTTAGCTTGATGTAATTCCACTTATATATTTCGGAGACCATTGCTTGTGCTTTAGAGGTCTTATTTAAGAAATTTTTGCCTTCTCCACTATCTTCAAAAGTTTCCTCTACATTTCTACTAATAGTTTTGTAGTTTGAGGCTTTATATTTAAATCTTTGCTCCTGTTTGAGTTGACTCTTGTTATTGGTGAAAGATAGGGATCCAGTTTCATTCTTCTGTAAGTGAATATTCAGTTCTTCCAACACTATTTGCTGAAAAGACTTTCTTTTCTCCATTGCATTGTATTGCACCCTTTATTAAAGATCAGTTGGCTGTATGATTTGGGGTTTACTTCTAGATTCTCTATTGGGGTTTATTTCTGGATTCTCTATTCTGTTCCATTGATCTGTGTATCTATGTTTGTGCCAGTACCATGCTGTTTTCATTATCACTGCTTTGTAATATATTTTAAAGCCAGGTAGTGAGATGCTTCTTATTTTATTCTTTTGACACAGTATTGACTTGGCATATGGGGTTGTTCACAATTCCAGACAAATTTTATAGTTTTTTTTTTCTATTTCTGAGAAGAATGTCTCAGGTAATTGGATCAGAATCACACTGAATATGTACATTTATTTGGGTAGAACTGACTTTTTTTTCAGGCTTTTCGCCATAGGGCACATGTACTCATCAGAAACAGACAGTAAGAAGGAAAGTCAAAAATCACTCCCCAGGGAAGATGACCATGCTGCAATCCCTTTTCCTCCATTCTCCTCCTGGGATTTTGGGCACATTTGCACTTGCACTTGGAGGGATTTTCAAGCCACCAGGTTCGGGACTTGAACTATGTGGGAGTCCAGTACTTGAGCTATGTGGGGGTCCAGTACCCTAACCACCATACCACCTGCTGGCCCCAGAACTGACATTTGGATTATATTGATTCTTCTAATCCAAGTTTTCCTTATAGAGGTCTTTCACCTCTTTGGTTAGGTTTATTCCTAGATATCTTATTTGTTTTGTAGCTGTTTTAAATGAGATTGCTTTCTTCAATTCTCTTTCAGTCTGTTCATTGTTGATGCATAAAAATGGTACAGATTTTTGTATACTGACTTTGTATCCTGCTATTTTACTCAGTTCCTTTATCACTTCTAGGAGTTTATTCATGGATTCCTCAACTAATTCTAAGAGTCTCAAGAGCAAGGTTCGTATTTTGTACCTCTCCTGTTTCGTATCTCCATAGTTCCTAACACAGTGTTGGACACAGTGAATACATAATTGTTGAATGAATAACTAATAGACTAACAACAATACAACTAACATTTATTCACTTTTGAGTTTATACAAGGCATTGTGCATGAAATTTACCTACATTATCTAATTTAGTCCTTACTGTAACGTTGTGAAGTAGATGTTATTTCCATTTTGCAAATGAAAAAGTTGAAACATTGAAAGAATAAGTAATTTGTGCTACCTCAGAAAACCAGTAAGGGTCAGAAATATTTGAACCCATGTCCTTCTGATTCTAAATTCTGTATTCTTAACCATTTACACAGTCCCATCTTAAATTATTTTTTCAAAGTATATTTTACATACTTCAGCAATTCGTAGTCATGGTTATACATCAGAATTATCTGGAGAAGATTTAAAAATATATACATGTTTAATTCCTGTCAGACCTTCCGAATCAGAGCCAGTGAAGATAGTTGAGCAAGCAAATGAAAGGATGGAAAGACACATTAACTTGGCAATAATATGCAGGTGAGATTGGGTGGAAGAGGCATTAAGTGTTGGAAGAGTGGGGAGGAAACATTTATGGTGAACTAGTTGTAAGGGGATGAAGAGTTGAACAAATATATATCTTCATGCTTACCTATCCTGCTATATATCTACCAACAACATCTTTCAGCTGTTCCTGAAAATAGGTTTATTTCAGGAATAAATTGCAGGTCAGTACAAACAGATGAAAAACTAATTCAGTATAATCTTAAGGTCTCATATGAGTACTTAAGTCTTCCAGGATTGGGTGAGTAAGGAGACAGCAACCTCTTTAGGTTAAGAGTCAAACCAGAAGATTAGATCGTGAAATTTTTTCCTGGCCTCCCTAGCCCTCTTCCATCCCTCCATTCAATACCTGATAAACACAACCAATGTGCTAGGCACTGTACTAGGCACTGGAGATACACACAGAGAACTAAAATAAAGGACCTATGAACAAGGCATCTTGGTTAAATTTTGGAAAAAGTTGGTTAAAACTGAGATCTTAGAAGTGTCTAAATTTTAATGGCTATTATGAAAAGTATGAGAGTTAATGTGTCAACAAGAATGTAGAGAAAAGAGAATTCTTGCAAACTGTTAGTGGGAATATAAATTAATACAGTCATTATAGTAAATGGTATGGAAGTTCCTCAAAAAACTAAACATAGAGCTACCACATGATCCAGTAATCCCACTTTTCAGTATATATCCAAAAGAAATGAAATAAATATATCAAAGAGATAGCTGCACTCCCATGTTCATTGCAGCATTATTCACAATAGCCAAGACACAGACTCAACCTAAGTTTCCATGAATGAATGAATAAAGAAAATGTACAG